AGTCATCCTTGCCCTCACCATCACCTCCAGCAGTCATGCTTAGCTTATGTTTCAGCCCATCACCCAAGGGCACCTCTGCCTTTGGGCTTTTTCTTCCTCCTCCTCCTGCAACATTAGCCCAACTCCAGGTTCATTTGCAGGAGACAACAGTATGGGAAAGTTTCTGGTGTTTCCCAAGTTAGAGTATCCCTAGATTTTAGTCTCATGCAGAGGAAGGCTGAGTAGACCCTGGGCTGGTGTTTAACACTGACCTTCTGGAAGGCAGAACAGGGTTCTACATGATTTTAGGATGAGCATCCTCCTCTCCCAGGTGAGGGATGAAGCCCAGAAGCATAGTGGGTGTGTGCTGCTCCAGAGGCTGTATGTGTGTCAGCCTGTCCAACCTCCTGCATCCAAGCTCTTCCAGAAAGGGTTTGGGGACCAGCCTGGAAGAATAAGGAAAGTATATGCTAGGCTGACTCCATCATTTCCACTGCCAGGAGTGGTAGTCATGGTTTATAGGTCTGTACACAAAATCTTTACAAACCAAGACAGAAAAGTCACTTATAACTCTTCCTCAAGGGCATTCCCTGATGAGAGAAGCAAAAAAGCAATTATAGCAAACTGTGAAATAAAAAGGAAGTCAGGCCAAAAGACAGGTGAGTGCATGGCTCTGCACTGGAAATTGTGAAAAAACCTCAGTTGAGGAAGAAGAAAATCAGCACAACCTCTTTCAAGCAGGAGAACAGAGGCTGGGCAAGCAGGCCAGCAAAACATGCTGATTCTTCCAGGGTAAAACTTACCCCGCTCAATAAAGAACATCTTTTCATCAAGGAAGAGGTTTCATTTTAGGACATGGTGAGGAGTTATCAGGAGCAGCTGATAAATGGCAAGCTGGTGGCCAGACCACCTTCCTGTTACCTGTGTGTGGCTCTGAGCCCAGGGACCTGCTCCTGAAGAATCCCTTGCAGCCAAGATGATGTGTGCTGGTGGCTTGAACAGAAACAGAACAGATCACTATTCCTGCTTTCAGATTTAAAGCATGTATGCTACAATTAACATAGATCCCTTAATGAGAACAGGAGTTGATGGCTCTGATGTTTTCTTCTAGCAGATAAGCAAGAAAGCCATTATCTGAACTGCACATTAACTGGAACACACCCTCCTCTAGAAAACAACATTCCTACGGAGCAGGAGGAGGATCAGCAGCACAGCCATCCTACAGTGAATTTACAAGTAGGCTGCACTCTGGTGCAGAGAGCTGTAGTACCTGCTTCATGGGCTCACTCCCATTCAGTGGCTGCTCTTGTACAATGACTCTAACCTCACACAGGCCCACAATTTAGCTTCTCAAAGCATCAGACACAGCTGGGATGACCAAAATAAAGACATTGTTCTCCTTTCTATTTCCAGAATGTTATCCTAGTGAAATGCTCTTCATCTGCTGTTCTGTTGGTGAGATCTCAGCCCCTGCTCGGTTTCAGTCTGTAAGTAGGAAAATCGCAGTGGGAGTTCCTTGTGCCAACAGAAACTTTACAAGATCAGAGGCAGATGAAGCTTCACTTTAAATAAAAGCAGCCTACTCCAGAGATTTCAATGCCCTTTGCTCAGATTAATTGACAAATGATGGATTGCTTAGTGCTCCCTATTTACATCGAAGACTCCTGCTTCAAACTCCTCCACACCGTGAGAAGGCAAACAGTGGAAGAGGAGGAGGACAGTGTGCAGAGGAGCACAGACTGCACAGCAGTAGCTTTTCCTTTGTGCAAGGTGCTGTATCTACAGTCCACAAGCACAGGTATATTTACCATCAACACCTTTTCTAACAAAGTAAGAGAATAGGACCATAGCTGCCAAGGACTGACTGGTGATTCCAGGCTGGTGAAGGCCTGGAATCTGCAGTGCTGGAGCTATTCTAACTTCTTAGCCTCTAGATAATTTTCCTGTGATGGAAATGAGCTGGGCAGAAGTGATGTAGTGAGGCAACAGGGAAATCAGCAAAGAGCAAAGGGTATTTGTGTGTTCCCCTGTTCACAAATGCCATCCTGTGATCAAAAGTACTTACACAATCAGGATCCCCTGCCTTGCTCAGAGCTCCAGCATTGTGCTCTTGTCCAAGGGCTTCCTCTGATGCCCTGGCAATGAGGGCTCTGTGAGCAAGTCCTCTGCACGATGCAGTGTCAAAGGAACTGCTTCTTCCACAGCCTCTACAGACACAAAGTGGCTAACAGATACACTGGCCTCACTGGACAAAGGAAAATGACTTCTGCTGAAACCTCACGCTTCAAACTCTCTCTAAAGAAGCAGTGCTGTAGAGCAGGTCTGTTCGCCCACTATCTCCCCATTTCAGCTAGATGTCATGACTGTCTATCACCAATTCAGACTGACACTGCTAGAGTGTCAGTACCTGGGAGAGATTTCCAAACCTCTGTGTTAAAAATGTAAAGCGCAGAAGTGATGATCTCTGGGTTAAATTAAGCTCCAAGGGGTCTCCTGTAGCTTGAACAGGAGCTAGTGGTAGTTTCTTTGAAGAGGGTTCAACACACTTTTCCCAGAAACCATCATACATTTTAATTACTCCTTTCACACATCCAAGCACTTTATATGCAAGTCAACCTCCCAGGCAAGTGTCTTTTTAATAACCTTTTAGTTAAGCCTGGTAGTTTTCATTTCACCAACCATTTACTCTTCCCATATAACAGACCTTTGTTCAAAACACTTTCACCATTATGCTCTTACATACAATCTCCACCAACTGCTAACACCAAAAAGCAGGATAACTGGATCTTCCCAATTACTGCAACTGCCTAAGCAGAACAGTCACACAACATAAAGGTGTGCATAGTGGTTCAGTTTAATTGGATATTAAATCCCCCTACAGAGGGGTATAATATCCCAAGAGACAAGCAGGGTACTGAAGAGGGGAGGCTGTAGTTGTCAACTTCAAAATGGGTTTAGAAGATGAGTGTGGAAACTTAATACATGATAGCTTCTGGAACAGCTTTTTCACCTCACTATCTGCCCTCTCTCCAGGTCACTTCAGATGGTGCTGAACAGCATGGTCCCCACAGAACACCACTAGTGACCTCTCTCTGCAGATCACTTACCCACAGTCAGCCAGGATTTTTTTTTAATGCAAAGATCTTTCCTCTTAGAAAGGCTGAGCAGCCCTCAGATAAGACTGAGCTGTTGCTAAGGGGTCCTATCAAAAGCCCTTTGGAAACCTAAAACTGTACTGGAACTTCCTGCAGAGGGGAGTTTAGAGGAGTCTCACTCACAGCTGTAGTGAATGCATATAGCACACAGGGTCCAGCCATCCCAGCAGAGGTATCTACATTACAAAACTATATCATTTCAGAGACAACAGAACACATCCCTCAGAAGTTGGATGCAGATCACTTCCCTCATCTGGAGATTTCTTTGAGAAATGAAATGAAGATGACCCATTAGGGACACCAGGAGAATCACTCTCCCATTCACAATCAAGCTACAGTGTTGCTGCAGGCAGTGGTTCAGCTTGATCTGAGCCAAGGACCTCCCATCAAACTCGAGTGCACCCACAGCTGCATGACACCTGCTCAGCTGTTGCACAGGTGGAAGATGCTGAGCAGTCATCATCATTTTTTACTCTATGAACTATGCAAGCAAATGGTACAAGCAGCACTTTCCATTGAATAGCCTGGTAGTAAATGCAAAGGTACATTACCCCAAAGCTTCACCTTCACTCTGCTGCACAATTTCCTACTGAAAAGGCAGAAAGCATTGGAAAGAAATTAGTGAAATTATGGCAGCTGGTGGGGGGAAGGATGCAAAGCCTTCTGACAGGGAAAGGAAATTAAGGCTGCAATTTAAGGACAAACTTTTACCACGGTGGTTAACAGCAGATTAAGTCATTGTCAAGGTTCAAATTTTAAACCCCACTGCCGTAAACTGAAAAAATGCACACCTCTTTGGAATTTATAGCCTTGGAGTATTTGGCAGCACCTGTCTGAGTCTGCTGGGCTACTTTCTATTTGCTAACCATTTGAATCTAAATCAAAGTAAAAAGTCTGGCAGACACTTTGGATAGTAGTTGGAGACGTCACAGAAACCAAAACATGGTTTTGTTCTGAGAAGCTTCCTTAGGTGTGAAAACATCTAAATAAAGCAGATTCCTATGTGATGAGTAGCAAAGGTGGCTTAAATCTGGTCTTTTGTTCTTTGAATTTTCTGCTCTCAAACATTTCCTACCACAATACTCAGCTGGATACATTCAGAGTACGTGGTTCCATCAGAGACACAATGTATTGAAACCCCTCACACTGAGAGCATGCACCATCCTAGCCAAAATAAAGCTTTGCTCGTTATTAACAGACATTGCACTTATCACACTGAAGTGCATAAAGGATCAATACTCCCTTAAATAGAAACATTTATGAAGTACAGCTGGTAACTGTTGTGTTTATTAAGGAACTGGTTTTGTTTTAATTAACATGATACTCCCTTTCCAAATACAAAAGAAAGTAACAGAAAGAAAAACTCTGCAGAACACAAGGACAGAAGGAATAGAGGGGACAACTCTGCACTGTTCTGACTTAGCAAAGACCTGCAACAACAGATCTGCAAACCCAGTGCCAAAGAGCCATCACACTCGAGATGGCAGGGCTGATTTACCCAGTGGCTGAGACTGCAGGGATAATTCTCACAGCCTGTGGCATCCTTGCACAGAGCTCAAACTGATGCATTGTCAGTTCAGTGAATTGAGACAGCACTAGCACATGTGAATGATCTCAGTCTCCTCAAGTCTCACATTTCATTACTCAGTGGTAATTAGGTTATTTTTTTCAGACAAAGCCAGTTTAAAGCTAGTCAGTGCAATCTCTATGAGTACAAGCTCCAGAGATCCCCGTGATGTAGCATTCCCTGCCAGCCACAGCCTGGGCAGAGTGCATGCCATGGGGACGCCTTCTCCAGCCCAACTGAGCAGACTTCGTTCAGGTGAGAAGCAACCAAACAGACCACAACCACAAATGAACCAGGAATCAAGGTTTGTCCAATTTGTGCGTGCGCTCGTGCCTCCGTAGGGTGCCGGACTCGGTGAAGGAATGGCCACAGTAAGTACAGGAGTAGGGTTTCTCTCCGGTGTGGATGCGGTGATGGCGCTGGAGCGACGCCAGCCGGGTGAACGTCCCCCCACACTCCTCACAATAGAAGGGACGAGCCCCAGAGTGAGTCTGCTGGTGTCTTTTCAGCCTGAGCAGCTGGACAAACGCCATGCCACACTCCTGACACTTATAGGGCTTGTCTTCCCGATGGATCACCTTGTGTTTGGAAAGCAGGTTGGGCTTATCGAAACCTTTGCCGCACGTTGGACAGGCATAAGGTTTATAGTCATCTTCCTCTGATTTTTGGCTGTCTGCACAAGGCTGATCGGTGTACTCGACCGTGTGCTGGCTGCGGTGCACTGTGGACCACGGGTTCCGGGCCATGCCGTTTCCCAGGATCACCATGGAGCGCTCGATCTTGTGCACGTTGCGTAGGTGTCTCCAGACATCAGCCGTGCGGATGAAGCCCTTGTCACACTCGGGACATTTGTGTGGCCTGTCGCTGGAATGAATGAGCTTGTGCATTCGCAGATTTGCCGCGCGGAAGAACTCTTTGGCACAGATGGGACAGCGGTAGGAGTTCTCCACAAGGTGAGTTCGTCTGTGTTCCTGTAACTCGCTCGTACCCTGGAAAGAGGAGCCACACTTCTTGCAGCGATATGGCAAAGCTTCCTCAGAGACAGGCTCCAGGTCCTCATCAAACACATCACCAAGAACAGCACTTTTGTCATTGTCTCGTGGTCTTCTCTGTGGTTTCCCGCGATGCTCAGAGGAAGGGTGATCTAAATCCTTATCTTCACGCTGCAAGTCAAAGTTGGCATTGGAGGGGGCAAACACACCAGTTGGACTCTCACCTTGTTTCTGGTAGCAGTTCTCACAGGTTTCTTTGTCTTCACACTGCAGCTCTGCAGGAAGCTCCTGCTTACCTGAAGGTCCAGCAGAGTTGCAAGGAGGACTGCATGTCTGCGAGCAATTCATGTCCATCTCCTCCTGGAGGCTAGAGGTGTGGCCCACCTGCTTAGTGGTCTGTCTGGAATAGTCTGAATGCTTCTCACCTGTGTCGCAAATGTTATTCTCAGAGTCCCAGCCCACATTCACATCCATCCTCTGAGGTGAGTGCTGTGTTCATCTGCAGCTCATCGGTGATGTGTACACCCAGAGCTTCAGGGCTTTCATGGTAAGTCCATCTCATTCTCAGCTCTCTCTACAGTCCTCCCTAGAAAATCAAACACCTGTTTCATCAGTGATTTTTCTGATACTAACATAAGATATAAATTTATAACAGTGAAGTAATTTTATGGCTAAAAGAATGGAACAGACTATTAGTTATGAAGTAGGAGAAACAGAATCATCTACTATTAGATATGTAGAAAATATATTTCAGCACACAAAACACAGACAGTTTAATGAAGTTAAATCCTCTATCATCATCCAGACTTCACTACAAATATAGATGGATAATTTCCATCTTTAATTCACCTAAAGATGAGAAATCACAGAATCCCAGAATGGTTTGGGCTGGAGGGGACCTTAAAGACTGTTTTGTTTCAACCCCCCTGCCATGGGCAGGGACACCTTCCACTAGCCCAGGTTGCTCCAAGCCCCATCCAACCTGGCCTTAAATCCTTCCAGGGTTGGGGCATCCACAACTTCTCTGGCCAACCTGTGCCAGTGCCTCAGCACCCTCACAGTAAAGAATTTCTCCCTAACATCTTATTTAAATCTCTCCTGGTTTACTTTAAAAACATCCCCCTTGTCCTATCAGTATCTGCCTGTGTAAAAAGTTGTTCTCCCTCTTTTTTATAAGCTCCCTTCAAGTATTGGAAGGCTGGGTAAGGCATCTCTGAATACAAGCACATATAGATAAGAAAACATATGTAAGAACATACATATTTCTGTCTTTCCATGCATACATAAATATAAAACTTGCCTATTTAGTTTCTGTAGGCTTAGCAAGTACAGTTACCAAGGCAGTATAGCAATGTGCATTAAGTGAAAGGTCTTATTCACATCCCAGAAAGGCCAGCTTCACCAGCCACACAAGCTGTGCTTTCTTCTGCTGCGATACAGCAAACAATCTGGATTAGCCCTCATTAGTCACTGCCTGGAACAGAGTGGCTCCGGTCACCCCCAACTTCAGCCATTCCTGGGAATTCAATAAGGAGTTGGTTAACAGCAGTATTCCTCACCTCCAGCCCTCTAACCGAGCTGCTGTCGCCTTGGGGAAAGGAAAACTTTACAAGTGATGCTGCCGCTGCTCAGCTTAAAGGGAACTCCGTGCCCCATCCGGTTGCGGGAGCGATGCTGAAATCACGATGCAAGCTGAAAAATAAACCAACAACAATAATAAATCCATATATTAAAAAAGGAATTTATAGTTCCAGACAGCATGACACACACCA